AGAATATAATGGTTCTTTATCAATTAGCATATCCATGAATATCCTAAAAAATACTCAACTTTTTATTGTTCATTTCAGAAATGTAAAGTATAATTCCATGTTATCAAACAATCATTACACAGAGCCACACACTGCTGTTCAAGCTGACTCTGAGTCAGTGACCCTATATGACCAAGTAGCGATATGACATAGGATTTCCAAGACTGTGACTCCATAGAAGCAGACTGCTTCCCTGTCTCCTGTGGAACAGCTGGTGGTCAAGTCGCTGCTAACAGCCCAATGCTTCAATTATTAGAGTGGCTAAAATGAAGATTAAAATATAAAATATGGACAAGACGATCGAGCAATTGGAATCTTCATTCACTGGTAAAACCTCTTTTGAAAACTGTACTATATGCTCTAGTACAGTGGTTCTCAATCTTCCGAATGCCGTGACCCTTTAATACAGTTCCTCGTGTTGTCGTGACCCCCAACCATAAAATTATTTTCATTGCTACTTCATAACTGTCATTTTGCTACTGTTATGAAATCGGGCGACCCCAGTGAAAGGGTCGTTCGACCCCCAAAGGGGCTGCAACCCACAGGTTGAGAACTGCTGCTCTAGTGATTCCACTGCTAGGTTTTTGCCAAGGAAAACATGTGCACACGATCCCTGAAAGGCAGAAAACGCAAAAGCCAGACTTTTCATAATAGCCATAGATCAATTTAACATAATGCTGAACAAAAAAAAAACTATACGAAGAATCAATCACATTGTCTTTTTAAGATGAAAAACATGGAGCCCCAGGCTGTTGAATTCAGGATAGTAGTTACCTTTGTTAAGGCTGAGAGATACGACGGAGAGGAGAGTAACTAAGAGTAACTAGGAGAAGGGTTTCCAAAGATCGGCTGACGCTATTTTCTTATCTGTACACACGCTAGATGGCTTTTTACAGTTTGTAAAAACTCAGGGAGCAGCGCACTTAGTGTTTTTCCATACTCTGTAGTTCGCTAAAAATTTAAAATAAAAAGTTGTTTGCACATACCTTTGAAGAAGAATCAGGGTCCTTCCCATTAAGAAGGCCTAATACTTGATTAAGACATGAAGAAAAGTGCTCATACCTAGGTTTGAAATGAAAGTAGAGACTGGATATAATTATGTAATTGGTATAGCACGAAGCATGTATCTACAAGAAAAACATAAAATTGAAGTGTATTTTCTATCATCTATTCATTTGGGGCTTGTAATGCAGAACACAGTCTTTGCAAACTTCACGCTTAAATAAGAAACATACCCTATGACCATGACATATATAATATGGTTTGTCATTTACTAACGAGTGAAAACAACGAGTAGATAATTGAAATTTATTTTTTAAAGGCTGTGTTAAATTTGTAAAAATTCAAAGGACACAGAAGGGATTTAATGAATTAGACAGCTGTTTTTTAATCAAGGATGGACAATTGCCAGCCATTAAGTTTGGCCCTGCAAATACAGACTTAAGACCCAATGTTTACTGACTCCAGTTCTTCCTTAGTTGAAGTAAGTAAATTGTTATGACTCTGAGAGGTACCAGAGGAACCACTCATATTATACAGAGTATCCTAAATTCACTATCTTAGCATGGAGGCATAAAGAAAGGAAGTAATAACCACTAAAATGGAGGGACGTAGGAGCTGATGTGGAAAGAGGAGTAGTACCAAACCTATACTCGGCAAGGCAGGTGTAACCGTTACCTTTTTTTGTGCCAACAAGGCACCTGTGAGAAGATATGGGTGGAGTTTAGCCTGTCAATCATATCGCAGCCTGAAAACCTTCCTAGAAGCCGTCACCTTCTATATAGTTCTCTGGAACGTGTCCCCTCTGCTTTCACCTTCCTGTTCCTGGCGACCCTGAGAAATGCCAGAGCCCTACCATGTTTTCACCAACCTCGAATCCACACGACTTTTCACCTGCTGGGCTGTGATCTTCCTGCATCTGCATCATTGCATGTGGCTGTGTGATTCTGAATAGGGACTTATGGATTAGTATCAGGCTCATGGACTTAAGATGGACCAGGCCAGGATGTTTTCTTGACCTATAATTACTTCTTGACATAAAACTTTCTCTTATACATATGAGTGTCACTGAATTTGTTTCTCTTGTTTCTCTAGTCAACTTGGCCTAACACGGCAGGCTTGATTAGCTGAGGGGCTTCATAGATTTGAGTTTCAAAGAATAATTAAGGTATAAGACAGGAGAAGCTTATTCAATCCAGCATCCCAAGGGAGTAAGAAAGGCGAGTACACATGAATACATGCAAACGTGCTTCTAGAAAAGAGAATTCTACTTACTGTCTGCAATTAGACAGAAGGTCATAGGAGGCGTGCAAATGCAACAAAATAAGGCTGAGATGCCACACAGGGTCAGATTTTGAAAGGCAACAGTGAGTATGTTGAGATACATCTTTAACACAATGGGAGGTCAGATTTTAAAAGCGACATATTGTTGAAGAGTAGATGAAAGTTGAGCATTTTTATAAATGAAAGACAAGTCATCTGAATGGGAGGTATTGAAGAGATAAGGAAAACTATTGAAGAAGATAGTATGAGACTGTGTACAGAATAACGCCATACTTTTAAAAGTGGAATAAGATATGGCTTAGAACTAGTATAAACAGAGATAAGTAAGTTTTCCCAAGGACACACATTTTGAAAGAGCTCTACTAAGATGTAACTTGTTCCCCTCCTTCTGTGACACAAAGATAATGTCATTTCCTGAGTGAGAGGCAGCAAGAATACGGTAGTAAAGATTTGATATATCACTGAAAATATTAGAAAGGAATAAAACAGGAGTCCTGACCAGCTAAATTATTTACAACTAAAACTGATTTCTCTCAAGCCTTGATTAAGAACTCAGGAATTAAATCAAACTTTAAAACAGAATTAGGTTGAGGTTTTGTTAACCGGATGACAGATCAATAAGGTAACAGTTAAACACACTTCTTTTGATAGAGGTGACTCTAACGCTCTAGGCTAGATAGGCAAGAAAAGATCTTGGAAGTGAGAGATTTACAGAAGTGAGGAAGCACCCAGTTACTGAGGCTACACTAGAATATCTTGTCCTCCTGGACTGTCTCTCTAAAGTAAGTTTTCTGCTTACCATGAAGCTGGTAAGTAAGCACGATTTAGTGGCCAGAATGGGTATCACAGGAGGAAATACTGGGAGGACTCTGAGCACGTCAAGAGACGGAAGGGAGGCACTCAGGAAGAACGTTCTCTTACCCACCGGCACGTAAAAGGAGAGAAGGTAAAATGAAAAGGTAAAACATTTGGCTTTACAGTTAACCAAGTAAACCTTGTCCCGATAGGTTTTTTTTTTCCACAACAGCCTAACTACAGGGTCAGTGGATTATTTAACATGGTTCTTCTAGCCAGTCTCGTAACTCCCACCACATGACTTTCCCCTTCATGGGACTGGTCAGGAGGTAGGAGAAGATACTGATAAGATTTACCTGTGAGTAACTGCAAGCAGGATTCCCTAGAGTGCTACTCTACTGTGAATAAAAAGGAGTCTTCTGAGAACAGGAGGAGGGATTTCGTTACCAGCAAGAGCCATGAGTATGTCCTCTGGACCCAAGACCCCTAGGCAGTGAACTTCCTGGATCCCAAAAGAGCTGTGCCATCAGAGCAGCAGCAACAGACCTAGGAGTCAAGAGTGTGGAACAAAGTAATGGTCTTCCCCATCCAGGGAGTAAGTATGGCTGAGAGCTTTTGTGCAGGAAGCTAATTGTGCATCGAGGTGCCTCTTAATTAATTAATTAGTTAATAAATACTTAATTAGGAGTGTGGGGCTTGCTGACCCATGGAAATGGCACTGGGCGCCTTTGGTCTTCAGCTTATTGGAGTGGGTGCTTCTAGGCACTTAATGCGGGGCGCTGGCTTGCTGAGCTTGTGCTGTGTGCCTTAGAGCCGAGGCTTGCCGCAGGGTAGTATGCTCTCTGGTACTTTATTAGCAGGCCTGAAAGAGCCCTCTACCATGTCCTGATGAGAACCCTGAGCTGAGCACGTCTCATTGGCATTACAACTTGTTAATTCCTTAATAATCCCCTTAATCAAGAATTTTGTCTGTGAGTTTTGTGTAGCCATTGCCATGAATAGTAGGACCCAGAGAGACAATATATTGAGAGAACATGAACTTAGATAACACGCTCAAGCAGCACAGGCAAAGGGAAAATTGTACTGAAGATGTCAAAGTCCACAACTGTTTGGTAAACAGCTATTTACTGATCTCAAATTATGCATCATTATCTCAACAAAAACACTGTGATAGTAAAGATATTGTATATCATTAGACTTCCATTCTATCTTCAAGTATGAGACATGCACCAAAAGAAACATAACTTTTTTTTAAATACCAAATCCAAAACACTCAAAGCCATACTAATAAGAATGTTCCTCAATTATTCTTTCAAAGAACATAATGTTCAGAATTTTTAAATGGTTTTAAAACAAATTCATCCAGATGTCTCTATTTTGGAAAATTACGCATCCTTACTAATATAGGACAAAGACTGAAACATATACACATATGCACAGGTATGTATAAAATCTGGTTATAATTTTATATTTCACAGTAAAAAAAAACAACCAGAATGGGAATAAAACATGCCAAGGCATTTGGGTTTAGTCTTCTATGCATCAACAGAATTGATATTTACTACATCTTTAAAGGCAGGTTTATGTATTATAGACACAACTTGGTTGGAAAAAAGCTCTAAAATTTATTAGCCATACCTGGTAAGATAATCAGCAATTTTTGGATTTTTAAGGAGGTCCACCAGCAGGTCAACTGAATACTTTCTAGTTAGTGTACCATCACCGTTTACAAGAATATTAAATATTAACTGAAAAGTTTGATGAATGTTTCGGGCGTGGAACAGCTTAAAAACAAGTTAGGAAATGTATTATTATACAAAAAATGGAAGCTGACATCATCCTAAAACATAAAAAGCAACATATTACATTCCATTAATTTTACCAGCTCTAAACTTGAAAATCTATTTAATTGGCAATAACTTTTAAGGTACTAAAAACTATAATCTTCAGTTGAATTATCTTCATAAATAATTTGTCATATTTACCTTTTCCCCAACCTCTTCATTTAATGTCAAACTGGATAGTATTGAAAGTGCAAACACAACCACAGTTAAACTACTATGGGCCAAGTAGGTTATAAGAGTTCGATAAAAAGCTTTCACATTACTCTGTGGAAAAAAAATCAGAATGAAAAATTACCTTAGTTGTATATTTTGACTTAAAAAAAGCATGTCTTGCAAAGTAGGTAAACAAAATATTAGTAAAAATCATTATTATATGAAAAAATGACTGTCACCTTTAAGAGATGTTTTCTGGTTTTCTAGAGGTGAAAGTCATAGAATCAAAGGTCAACATACCGTATATACTTGAGTATAAGCCGACCCAAATATCAGCCGAGGTACCTAATTTTACCACAAAAACGGCATTTAAAAGTGTGCTGAAACTCAGCTTATACAAGAGTATATACGGTAAATTCAAAGACTAGTATTAAGAATGAGCATTCAGAGAAAATTAACCCTAAAATGCCCAGATGAGTGTAAAATGCATTTTTGCCAAGTTTTATCATCTTACAATAACTAATTCTGACAGTAAAGCTAGATGTAAGTTCTAATGGCTGAAAAAAGACATATGAAGAGTTCTTCAGATTTGTTAGAACCTCATGATTATGGTAAAAATCAAGATTATCTTTATTAAACTAGAAATGTTATTTTGTATTACACATGTCGGGGCAGCAGTTAACTTTATCATGCTTTCTGATGATCATTTTCACTTAAGAGATCATTCCAGAGCCGAGTGGTATGGGTACCTTCATAAACAAAAACCACACAGCAAACTCTGCCATCGAGTGAATTCTGACTCACAGCGACCCTGCACAAAGAGGCTTTAAAAAGCTTGTGGAAAAATGGAATTAAGAGGTAATGAAATTTTCAATGAACCTTTTTGGAGTCTCCATACATTACAAATAGTACAACCAAACTCAAACCAAACCCACGGACATCAAGTCCAGTCCAACTCAGAGTCCCCATCGAGCTGAACGGACATGCTCCACAGGGATTCCAAAGCTGTACGGAAGCAGAGAGCCTCATCTCTTGCCCCCTTTCTCAAATAGCTGATCTTTGGGAGAACAGTCTAATGCTTAACTCGCTGTGCCAACAAGGCCGCTTTGTCATGGTGAAAATTAGGCACTTGTTCACCAATTGTTTTTGATGGAGTTATTAATGATTTTGTGGAAATACGAGAGTTAGATAAACGGGATCACTTGCCAGTGATGTCCTCCATATCTGAAAAAAACAGACAGCACAAAATAAACCCACTACCATTGAGTCAGTTCCGAATCTAAACAACAGACTAGAGCCACTCCCCTTGGGTTTCGAAGACTGAACTCCACAAGAAAGACCGCCTCATCTTTCTCCTGCAGAGCGGCTGGTTGCATCGAACTGCTCATCTTTTGGTTAGCAACCCAACTGGTAACCACTATGCTACTCGCGTTCCTATGTCCCACGTCCATTAAGCAAAAATTTACTTAGCATTTCTTAATACTATTCAATCTGACTAACAGTGGAATTCAACGGAGAGGTAAACTTTTAGTATTTATAAGTTCATTAACCCTTACGGCCTTCAAATTATTTATGTCAATCTGATGCTTCATAAACTTTGACAGGTCAGCTGGACTATACACAAAAATTCTTTAAAAATATTTTCATACAGGAAAAAAAAACCAAGGTAGAATTATAAGCATAGAACCGACCACAAAGTAACATTTTAAAGATAAACTTACCAAAGTCTTAATATGCGTTTGAACGGAAAGATTGTGCCGACAAAGATTTGCCAATAATCCCAGACAAGGCATTGTTAACGCATCTTCAGGAGACTGGCTGTTGTTTTAGTTTTATGTATATAATACAAGAAACAGTATTGAGTTAATTCTAGTAGACTCAAAGTGGCACAGCAATTTGTACTTCTAAATATTTTCTACCAATAACAGTAGTTAGGAGGAAATACGTTTCCTTTTAAACAATAACTAAAACAAAAAGCCCAAGAAGTAAATGTTGAGTCAGTCTAATTCTGACCATTTAGTTCATATCTGAACCAAATCGCTTTGTTCAACTGTATCACAGAAATAGGGAAATAACAGTCAGAATGACCAACTGATAATTCATCAGGATATTTCCCCTTTAATGAAGATTAAATATAGACATATAGCAACATCAGTGTTAATAACAAAATTTTACCCCAGTTTTTCCTTATGAGAGTTACTATAAAGCTGCTTTACAACATGTAATCCTGGTTTCACTTAAGAGGAGCAAATAAAAATCAGTCCTACACAATTTAAAAAGGTGAAATCTTATCCAAGAAAAACTGAATTCCTAAATTATTTTAGTTTGAAATCTAACAGATTATTTAAAGGTTTAAGTAGTAAAGTTATATACTCACATGTGATCTATCAGATAAGTAATTAACTCATCTATATTGGCACCAGAATGGAAAACTTTGACATTATATGTTAACCTCTGCAGAAGTTGAATACACTGAGAAAAATAAGAGTTGTGAATGTAAACATCCAAGCACACTCGCCTACTCACAAAAATGAACTATGCTGCATATTTTGCACATGTTACCACTTTATGAGAGAGTTCAAGGTAAGAATTGCTCTATTTCTTAAATGGTTTGATATTGGTAAACAAAAGAAAAACGTACAAAATAATAAGACTAAAAAGTTTCACGTGCATCTCCAGATTTACACATCTCTACACATAGTACGTCAAACAGTACATCTTGGCCATAAACGTTGTGTACTTAATCATGTTGGCTCAAACACCTAGTGGATTGTAGCCCATAGGATCCCTACAGGGCAGAGTAAAACTGCTACTGCTGTGCCCTGGCTGTCAATCTTCATGGGAGGGGAAAGCATCCACTTTCTCCGTCAGAACAGGCGGTAGTTTCAAACTGCTGACTTTTGGGTTGACAGTCCAACTCATAACCCACTAGGCCACTAGAGCTCCTTTGGATACAGGTTGAAAAACATTATATTCCATTAATCTTTGCAGCTCTAAAATTGCATGTCCATCTAATTAGTAATGTCCATTTTTCATAAATTTTGGCATTTTACCAACTTGAAGGCACTTAACAGGATGACATTTTATATTCTAAATGCTTTATCTAAAGCTTCATTTTTTGTTTCCTCAACAGAGCCTAGACACCAGCTCAAAGTAGATTTTCATATGTATATTTCACATCTCCAGACACAAAGCAGTTATAATACATACATTTTTCCTCTAACAATGACACTAGATGTGGATAAACTTCCCTCGTCTAGAAACTTTTAAATAGTAATACATAAATGCCCCCATCAGCTCTTAAAAGTTATTAAGACTGTGTTAATCATGTAGTATTATATCTGCACATACACTGTAGGTTGACAGTTTACAATAAGTATTGTCACTTTTGATCTAAAAACAAGGAAGGGAAAACCAGGTGTAAACAAAGTCCTGTGAGGTGCCTGTACCTGTAAAAACACGGACTCGTTGTGGCCAGCACTGCTCCGACACACCACCCCTGCTAGCACGCTATTCAGATTGTATGCACTCTGAAGACAATCTTTGGTTTCATGGTCTAAAGCTTTAAATAAAATGGCACACACAATTTATCATTTGCATTCATGGTTTATTTCATGTATCAAAAGACAAATACTTTAAAATGAAAACTCTTACCATCATAAAAATAATAAGTACAATAAGGCTATTTTCCTCTAATACCTTTCAACTCAGAAGTCTAATCAGAGAAATTTTATGAGCTAAAAAAAAAAGGTGGGGGGAGGAGGGGGACATAAATAGCTTTCCCCTCTTTCTCAATTTACAAATGTATTTCTTCATGTAGAATATTTTAATCTCAAGGGACTGGTTGTCCATGTTTGGAGAACTTTTACAATTAAGATCATTACTTTAAAAACTATAGTACATTTAACTTCCCAAAGTGGCCACCATCCTTATACAAAATGTTGGTGAGAGCCTTTCTGGAAAGCAGTGTAGAAACCCACTAACTTTCAATAGAGAATACGGTTTTATAAAGTTCACTTCACTATTGATTCTTTAAAAAAATCTCAAAAAGAACAGGAGTGCCTGTCATTAGGGTACTGGTTGAATAACTAACAGTGCTAATTAATTCAAACTCAAAGACCCGCGGGGTTTCCGAGACTAAATCTTGAAAGCAGCAGACAGCTTTCTGCTCCCAGGGAGTGACTAGTCAGACAGGAATGCTGACCTGTTCAGTTAGCAGCTAAATTCCCTTACTTATTGTGCCATTAGGCTGGTAAAAAGATACTGATATAGAACTACCTGAGAGGTTAAATGACAACAACCACAACAAAAAAAGGTTCTAAATCTTGGTGTCCCATGACACCACATTTTACTTACAAGGGATCCCCAGTGATCGACACTTATTTGTTACAGCACAGAAAAACCTCTGGAAAAACACACACCAATCCATTCAGACAAGTGAGGGGGTTTCAAAACGTTTGTGGAAATGTTTCATTATCTTTCAATTCCATTTTTTCCCTCAGAGTTTTCGAGTTCCCTTATATTATCCCCAGAAGAAAAAGATAAGAACTGGTGTGGATGAGCCTGTTCCTGAGCCTACTGTCCATCCACATTTCACTTGTGGCTACAGGTTACTGTATTGGATGACAAAGAACATTTCCATCATTCTAACATGTTTTGTTGGGTAGTAATGCTCTGTACACACTTCTTGTAATATTAACACTTGTGGAATTCGATATATGCATGTAGTAATTTTATAATCGTACAAAGAAATGTGCATTTTGTCTCAAAACACAAATCTGGGGGAAAGGAACTATCAAATAGAAAAAAAGGGGGGGCGGGGCGGGGGGGGGATACAGAGAAAATATTATCACCATGAGTTCTTAAGTTCAATATAGTCTACAATGTGTTTCTTTGAACACTATGATTTTTCTAAATGGTGTACTTAACACTGGAATTACATGTTTGTTTTGTTTTAATTCAAAAGTAGACCAGTATTCCTTAAAATGCTTTCTTTTCTATAGCACACTGGACTATGCCATGCTTCAAACAATGTGGCCTAATACGTTTTAGGAAATACTACATAATATACCTTCTTTCAATAGCTATACAGTACACAAAAGCTCTGATAATACTTGTAATGCAGAAATCTCTTCAAAGCGAGTCATTCTCTACAAAGATTCTATAAATTTGCCCTTTGGAAACTAATTAAATTATACATTTTGGAAAAGAGAAAAGAAATAATTACCTAATTGAGACAGCAAACTGGTAATACTCAAGGTTAGGGGAGCACTTATATTTGGATCTTCAAGCAGTTCTACTAGGCAGCTCAAACATTCACTTGGCAATATCTGATTTGATGTAAACAATCGTGTGAGCTTCTGTCCAGAAACTACCTATAAAATAGTAATTCAAAAACAGATGTTAAGAAATAGCAATTTTCATGTCTTTGCCATTAAAAAAACATTCAGTTCTACCAAAATGTCAGACACCCTCCTCACCAACTGACAGCTGTTCTGCAGGCTGTATGTCTTCTCTGCTGGAAGAGTACCCCCTTCCTCACTGGGTCTGGTTAATTTCCCTCAGGAATCTTTCCCTAACTAAACCTCGACGACCCGTAACCATACTAGATTTGCCTATTAAACTACCCTAAGCTATCCTACATGTCCATTTCTGGAATCATCGAGCTTGATTGTCTAGCAATATTCAGCCTCCTCACTGCCCCGAACACTCCGTGAGGCACAGACTAACTGCCAGTCGTCCTCAAGTCGATTCTGACTCAGCAAGGCCGCGTGGCTGTGATCTTTTGGGAAGCAAATCACCTGGCCATTTTCCCCAAAGTCCCCACACCGGGAGGGTTGGCACCACCAATCTTAACTAGTTGAGCACCTAACTGTGTGCCCTGCATGGATTCCACTCAGAAGACTTACTCAATAAAAGAATTCCAGTATACTCATTCCATCTACTATGAAGAAGGTAAAACACAGCTAAGCCCATAGGGCAACTATAGGATGACAAGTTTTGTTCACTCCCAAGACAGAACCTAAGCCCCAAATTAGAGAGTATAGAAAAGTTATTTATTAAAAAAATATTTTATAGTCAAGAATTGAAAAATTTTACTCTTGGTTATTACACTGTTTACTCCTTTCCTGCCATCTTATAAACAAAACACCCACACATAATAAAATTGGGATTGGAAGCCAAAACTAGTTGTCAGAAAATAACATTCAAAATGTTTTATAAGTAGCATTCAACAGTAAGCATATTTTTTATAGTGAAGGAAAAATGATCAGTTAGTTTGGAATTAGATCAAATATTAGATTAAACCTGACTGAACACTTCTTTTCAGAAGATCAAGTCTAAGCAACCTATTTTAATAGCCTCTGATCTTTCCTCCACTGTGATTACCTGCTGCCCAGGTGCTTCAGCTCATGGTAAACACTTCCAGTACGAGATCGGACAGTGTCCTCCGTGTGAGTCATAGGCTACCACTGGTTAATTTTAAAAAATAGATTTCAAGGACTTTCTTCCTTGTCTGTCTTGGATTGGAAGCTTCACTGAAAACTACCCACCACAGACCACACTCCTGGTACGGCTTCTAAAATCACAGCACACGCAGCCACCAGAGTACCACAAACTGACAGGTGCGTGGTGATTTCTCTCTGTTATCCTTACCTAGATAGCACATACTCTTCTAGATTGTTGGCGACAATGCTTCAGATTATATGGTTTCAAGAAATACATGTTTTAGAATTACTAAGTTACAGGTCTGTAAGATTGAAAAGAATGGGCCCAAAGGTGAAATATGGTCCCTGGTAGTAGATGTTTTGGCAGAGAGAACCTTCTGAGCACTGCCCATCTGCCTCTGTACGTAGCTTGCATAGTAAGACAAGTTCTGTTTGTAGAACAATTCCATTCAGTAACATTAAGTATTTTAACTAAAAAGTACTTGTTACATGATAAGATAAAGAATTGCTTTACAAAATTCCCTGTACGTAAACACACAGAATATTTTACTACAAATAGAATTTATTTTAAGTCAATTAATCCTATATGGCACTTATTCTGGAATAAGGCATTTTATGTATGATAAGTCTTTTCACTTTCATAATAACTATGTGAGGCAGCTGCTATTACTTTGTCTTATAGACAAGTAAACTGAAATCCACCAGTGATATGGACGTGTAGCTGGGATTCATACCCAGGCAGTTTAGTTCCTGAAACCAAGCTCTTAACAACAATGTAACAGTAATGTTGGGAAATAACATTATCAAGGATGGGATCCACTCAGCTCTGCAAAGAAATTCAGAGTTCAGGTTCAAAATTCAAAGCACGGGAACATAAACACAATATACATAATAGAAAGAATGATCTCCTTTCACATAATAGCTGCCTCTCGGCAACCTCAGATACTGTTCTCATAAGTTCTGCACAAAGACATGCACCATTAAAAATAAACCCCCACCAAAGTAGTTAAAATTAATAAGAAGCAAATACCTCAACTGTTGCTATGGATCAGTGACTGCTTATCTCACATATCGCTAAAGATGACAAAAGTCGGTTGTTGACAAGCTGGTTGATTGTTCACGACCCTATAGAAGACAGTGCAGAACTGTCTCATAGGGTTTTCAATCTTTACAGAAGCAGACTGCTAAATCATCCCCCTGTGGGACCTTTTGGTTAACAGCTGGCGGCTTAACCACTGTGGAACCAGGGCTCCTTTTACTTGAATATTACGATGGGAAAGTAAAATCGTAAAACCTTTCTGAGAATTTGTCTAGTCATCTCAACTTATGTTCTGCACAGTCCTAACCTAAACCTAGTGCTACAGTCAATCCGACTCACAGAGACCTTAAAGAACTGCCTCCTATGGTTTTCAAGGCCCTAAGTGCTTTTGGAAGCAGACTGCCACATCTACCTACCCCCCACCCACCCCCAGCAGCTAGTAGGTCCAGCTGCTGAACTTGAAGTTAGCTAGCAGCTGAGTGCTTCCCCACTGCTCCTTCCCTATAGCAAAAGCAACCCCCCACCTTGCTGAGGAGCCCATTCCAACTCACAATTCCACTCCTAGGTATATGAGAGAAATGCGAGTCCACAGCCAAGAAAGACAAACATGAAAATGCGCACCATTTTGTTCGTAATTCTACCTAGAAATGGAAACATGCCAAATGCCCATTAACAGGGCAATGTATATAACTGTGGTCCATTAACACAACAAAATTCCGTGTTCCCATAAAAAAACAGAATGAAGTTCTAATAAATATGAATGTCTTATAGTTATATTGAGTCAGACAAAAAACTGTGCTCTATGAGATGACTTACATAAATCTATGAAAAAGCACAATGAAGAAACCCTGTAGGACGATGGAAATTTTCTGTATCTTGATGACAGTTCTAGCTACAAGTGGACCTAGCAAGGTTTCAAAAAGGTGAGAGAAAAATGCAATAGGTATTTTCAAAAGATTTTTCCACAAACTTCTAGAATGTCCTTCACATTAAAAAAAAATCATTTAAGTTCTTCATTTAAGCTTAAAGCACTTCATGCAATTTACTATACATGTTCTCTCTCAAATAAAAAGTCCCTAATAATTATAGCAAAAATCCCGAACTCGTTGCCATCAAGGGGGGTATGAATCAAGCTGCTAACCACAAGGCCAGAAGTTCAAACCCACCAGTGGGTTTCTGAAGGTGAGACTGTCTACTCCTGTAATGATTTAAAAGTCTCAGAAACCCAGAGGCAGTTGCTGATTCAGGATTGACTCAACTGGAGCTCTACTTCTCTGTCAGTTTGTTGTACTGAAGTATCCTGTGTGTTGCTGTGATGATGGATGCGATGCCACTGTCATTTGGTGAACAGGTTTCGGGAGAGCTTCTAAACTAAGAACAGATGAGGAAGTTGATAGTCCACTTCTAAGAGATGGCCTTATGAATATCAGTGGAACACTGATACAGCGCTGGACGATGAACCTCTCAGGTAGGAAAACCCCAAACCAAACTAACCTCACAGCATCCAGCCAATTCTGACTCAGGGCAGCCCTATGAGACAAGGTAGAACTGTCCCTGTGGGTTTCGGAGACGTACTCTTTTTTGTTTTTTTCAACCCTTTTATAGGGGGCTCATACAGACAACTCTTGTCACAATCCATCCATCCATCCATCCATCCATCCATCCATCCATCCATCCATCCATCCATCCATCGTGTGAGACTAACTCTTGATGGAAGTACAAAGTCTACCTTTCTCCCACAAAGCTGCTGGTGGCTTCTCATTGCAGACTTTGCAACCCAACACATAATCACCACATGACCAGGGCTCCTCACGTAGGAAGGAACTGAAAACATGAATGGGGACGAGCTGCCTCCTTCAAAGCAGAGTTCACCTTACTGACCTTCATTTAGGACCTTCATTTGTTGTTGTTTTTTGGTTAATGAAGCATGACTCAAAATGAGAATAGCTGCAAACACCCATTAATAACTGGAAAATGCAATGCACAAAGAATGATCTAAGAATATTTGAAGTCATAAGAAAGAAAACAGAGCGTGAAGGCATGATATGAGTCCCACATCAGATCTCCTTGGGCTCCACAGGGGAAAGGGAGACCCCAACTCCACATTGCCCAAGGATGATTCGTACGAGGCAGACATGTCTACATCCTCCTTTATCCTATTTTGACGCCAATAGTCCCTCGCATGGCGCTCTATTTCTCTGCTGGGTTCAACAATTTGCTGCAATGGTCCCATTGCACTGAGACAGTACTCACAGTGATGCAGTCGCTGAAACAGAGCAAAGAAACAATGAGAGGTTTAAAAGCAGGGTTGTGTCTTTTCATGATACTTAGTCACTCAATATGCTGGGCAAAGAATCTGAAAGGCTAAACTTTATGAAGAATGAGGCACAAAGACTGGCAGAAAGCTTATGAACAATCTGTGACCTGGAGATGCACAAGCTTGCTTGCTGAAGGGAAGAGGACTTGAACACTTGAACACTTGCTGAAGATCAAAGACCACAGTATAAGCTTACAACTCAATGTAAAGAAAATCAAAATCCTCACAACTGGACTAATAAACAATGTCAGGATAAAACAGGTAAGAGAGGTTGTCAAGGAAGCGAGCCCTAGCCGGTGACAAAATGTTAAGGACACAGTTCTTTGGTTGGCAGTGCCTCTTCTTAGTAACGTTGGCAGGCAAATCTCTCTGGTCCTTGGCCTCTGCCCTGCTCTGGTAAGTGTAACAAATCTCCTTTAGCACTGCTACAGGCCCAACGGGTATCATACACTACACGCCAGCTCACTGCCCAAAGGCACTCAGCTTTACCCATTCTGTGGGTCAAGAACCTCTCGGAGCTTCTCCTCTGCTGGTCTTGCAGACGCTGGTGCCTCAGCCAAGTCAAGCAGGGATCTTCTTGCCAGGGCTGCACTGCAAGCTTTCCTTTTCTGATGATCATGGAAACCTCTCCTCTTCTTGCTACTGAGAATGCTCACCGTGATAGCCAGAATGGCAAAACTGACCCAGGATTTCATGTTGCTTGGATCCACAATCAATGCTCATGGAAGCAGCCGTTAAGAAATCAAATGATGTATTGTATTGGGCAAATCTGTTGCACAAGACCTCTTTAAAGTGTTAGGACATGGATGCCATTTTGAAGACTACGGTGCACCTGTCCCCAGCCATAGTATTTTCAAGCTAATTCCATAGTCACAGTGACAGAAACCCACAGAGGAATAAAGAACAGAGAAGAATCGATGCATTCTAATTAAGGAGTTGGAGCAAAATATTGAAAGTACCACGGACTGTCAATCAAATCTGTTTGGAGGACACATAGCCAGAAGGTACTTTGGACATGTTATCAGGAGATCTCTAGAAAATGCCATCGTGCTTGGTAGAGGATGAGCAAAAAAAGGAGACACACTGACACGGTGGGCAATACAGTGAAGTAGTTAACATGGATCTTCTAGCCATAGCTTTGCTATTCCCAGTGATAGGTCAGGGAAAGGGGAGTGTGGCATTGTGGATTGCATTATATGAGTCAGCTGTTTAGTGACAGTCAAGTTACCCACGATTAACATCCTACTAAGTATAACTTGAGCCACCTCACAAGCAGGAGAGGGGATCTCACTACCATCAAGGAGAGTCAGGGAGGAGCTTTGAACCTATTTGATCTGGAATGCGGTTCTCAATCTGTGGGCCGCAACCCCTTGGGGGGGATGTCAAAGGACCCTTTCACAGGGGCCACCTGATTCATAACAGTAGCAAAATAAATAATTTTATGGTGGGGGAGGTCACCACAACATGAGGAACTGTATTAAAGGGTCGTGGCCTTAGGAAGGTTGAGAATCACTGATCTAGAAGAAAGTTTTGCCATAAGATGTGTGGCGTATCAGTATAACCAGGAGGAAGAGCAAGAGACACAATGGGGACCACCCCCCCAAGCTCACAGAGCAAGTAAAATGAGTGCTTTTGAGTTTTGAGGTGGCTGGCTTGTGAAGTGGGGAACCTCCGGGCACTTAATTGAGGGAGCTGGGTTTGCTGACCTATGGGGCTGTAGCTGTGTGCCTTCAGGTTAAAGCTACAGCAGTATGGCATGCCCTTTGAGCATTTATTGACAGTTCTAAAGAGCTTTGTAACAGTGAGCAGGGCAGAGAAGAAACTGTCCTGACCGAACAATTGTATCCCCAGAATTCCTCACTTGAACTGTAATATGTTAATTTTCCTAATAAATCCCATAATGCTGAACTTTGCCTGTGAGTCCGGTGTGGCCATTGCAACAAATGATCAAACACAGCCACAGATGGAGTGTGCCCAGAGTAAGGAGGGTTGGAGGTTAGAAGTATGTTTGACCTCCGCCTTGTGGCAATCAGCCCTGGGAGCTGGAGAGCGTCAGGTGCATTTCTTCACAGTGGCTACAAGGGGACCAAACCTAACAACAAAGGTGAGGAAGGAAGGCGCAGGACAAGGCAGCGTTCGTTCTGTGGTGTACTGTTACACACTCGACAACCCCCAACAAGAACAGTTACAGCTAGTGTTCTCACCCTTTGCATCAAAAATGTCCCGACAGATTTTTCTCTCAACTGTTTCCAAATATGGGTGGGAATATGGTATCAAAGAGCAGTCTCTAAACCTCAAATTACTTTGGTGTTTCCTATAATTCAAAATAGCATTGTTTTCCGATTCATAACACGCTTGTTTATCCTCACAGGGAGGTAAAACTTTGCATTAACATCTAAAATACCCCCCAAATAAAACTGATGGCTCTGCTTACCCAGTGGCTTTTGAAATCCACCGGTGCACTGTTCTATCTTTATTTGAAAAGCAAAGCTTTAACCCCTTCATACTTAAGCAATTCACCAGTTAAGGATTTAAATACTAAACGATCATTTTGTGCTAAGAAAACAAGGTTATGATTACAAGTCTGGGGGAAAGGGATTGATTCTTAAAGACAGCTGAAATAATAGTTTTCAAGTTCGAATTCAACACGAGTTCACGTAAAAACAGGAATAGGGTTCGACTGTAAACTGCCTAAGGGCGAAAGCAAATGTTAAGCTTCCCGCTCCACTGGAATCGCTGAATGTTCAAGGGCTCAATTTCGATGGGAAACCAAACACACCACGAAGCAAAAGGGCAGCCGTAGATCCAAGCTTTCTCCCCTCCCACTCCACACTGCTACCCCACCCAGCCTTTTTGTCCCTCCCTCTTCCTCCGGGCTATAGTAGGAGGCAGGTTCCCCTGGCGGAGAGCAGGCGCAGGGTGCAGGAGGGGCGATCCCAAGCTGGCTCGCGTCCCCTTTTACTAGTACGAAGACGGCCGAGGGAGCCAGGGGCTCTCCCCTTTCCTGGGGCTGCCACACGCGGCCGCTCCGGGAACCAGTAAACACTAGCTCCCGACGGCCCTCACCTCCAAGTGCCGCAAAAGCTGGGTGGCGTTGGCTTCGGACTTAACGGCTTTGTACTGACTGATGGTCAGGAGCAACGATTTCAAGCAGGCGGTGTTGTCCATCGGGACGAGGCCCAGTTTCTCCAGACGCCCCAGCACCACCACCCTGCCTAGTTCACGTCTCCCCTTCTCACCGCGCTTTTTTTGATTTTTGGCCCCACCCCCTCGCGCCTGTAGCTTCCGGTTCCGGTTGCGTTCCGGAAGTCCGTAGGCGCTCCGGGGGATTGGCTCTCTGCGAAGAGCCGGGTGGGCCTGTGGGTCGTAGCCATCCGCGGGTCCGTGAAAAGGCTTAGGAGCTGCCCTTCCCTATGCCCCTTCAAGCCCCCCTTTCTTCTGAGCCCGCGAGGTTTCTTCTTCGAGATCCTGCGGAAGGAAAGTATCGCGAGAACCGCGATTGCTTATAACTGTGGAGGGGCGGGGCGGTTAGGCGCCGTGAGCGCTCGGTGGTTCGTGCGCGCGGTCCGATTTGCTTTTCTCCCACGGCCCTCACACCGGCTGGCCAGTTCCTTTGTCCTCATCCTCTACCCGAGAAATAGTCTAGACACGGTGAGCAGCTAGCTCGGAGTGTGACAGTCTTTGGGCTCTAAGGTTTTTGAGGCGGCCTGGGAGGGACCTCATTTTACATCTTTATTACATCCACCCTTTCGGCCCAGGAATGATGATTTCTCAGGGTAAACCGCGCCGTCGGGGTTTTGTGACCGGCTAGCCTGGGTCAGATTTCTTGGAGACAGCTTGAGCGACCCCTGGCCCCGTGTATTTGTTCTGCGTGGTCTCCTCCGTGCCAGGTTCTGTGAGGGAAGATGCCTATTTGGTGGCATGATGGTTTTTAAGGTGCCAGGTCCACGGAAATGGCAGGATGCGTTTTTTATTCACGGGTTGTGCATGCGTATGATGTCTATTAGGAAGTGGGTCGAGTAGCTGGCTCTGCAGACTTAATTTATGCTAATGCCTGATAAACTTTTAAAAACCAGTGTGGAAATTTTTAAGACAAGAGTACCTCTTGATTTAATGAAATCATCAGAAATCTTGTTTTGCCAATTCGAAGGACGGTACTTTTTGCATCAATACCTTTTTAGGGTAAGGGTTTATTTTTGTATGAAAAATATTTAGTTCACTATTAAATCTGAAAACTTGACATAAAGTGCAGTTGAGGGAAACGTACCGAGTATATTCATTCGTGCATTCATTGAGTTAACAGTTGTTGACTGCCTAACGCACATTTCCAGTCTAGGCACAAAGATAATAAAATCTCCGCTGCTGGAAAGGAAGTATTCCTTTAAGGGAAATATACTCAATACTGCATGTGGAATTCACTGTACACCAAGAGAAACTACCTGATGATGGTCAAGGTTTGCGTACAAATCATAGCTCTACCTTTTTTTTTATTATGTGCCATAGGCAATTTTTTTTTTTATTATGTGCCATAGGCAAAAAAGTCTGCCCTTCAGACTAGTCATATAAGGTAAAATCTAGCCAATAGAAGTAGATATTTCATAGGTTTGTTCATACAGTAAATAAGGGACCTAGGTTATAAAACCACCCTACTGTCATGGAATTTATAATCTGTTAAGGATTGAAACAATAAATCCCTTTTAAAAGATGATAGAGGGCAGAATTAGTACTCTGGAATAATTGCAGTTAAGGAGAAAGTAGTTTTAATTTTCACTGGGAAAGGCAGGATATAGAGCTCATTGAGAAAGCAATATTTGAGAAAAATACTGCAAGTTGAGGGAAAGCCATGTTATCTAGGAGGGAAGAGCTATCAGATATGGAATAATAAAAACAAAGGCCCCGAAGTGGCATCATGCAAGGAACAGCAGAACAGCCACCATAGCTGGAGTGGAGGAAGCAAGCGTGAGTAATTCGACATGAAGTCATCTAGGGTCTTCTTAGGTACTGTTGTGTCAGTTCTGACTCACAGTCACGCGTGCACAGGAGAACGAAAACACTGCTGTGCCATCCTCAAATTCTACGTTTGAGCCCATTGTTGCAGCCACTGTGTCCATCCATCTCATCAGACTTCCTGTGTTTTGTTTCTGTTTAAATTCTGCTTCCCCTTTCCTAAGCATGATGTCCTTTTCCAGGGACTGGGCTTTCCTGAGTCCATATGTAAAGTACGTGAGATGAAGTCTAGCTATCCACGATCTACAAGGTATTCTGACTGTATATATTCCAAGACAGATCTGTTTGCATTTAAATTATGGTGCTGGTGAGGACTATTGAAAGTATCATGAATTATCAAAAGAATAAACAGATCTAAGTTCTTAGAGACCATTATGAAATGAGATCATGTAAAGAGTTTAGAACAGTGTAGGGATAATTGAGTGTTGGACGATCATCATTTGTTGGCAAACGCAATGATAAGAGTTTGATATACTAACTTGTGAAATAGCCAAAAGCAAGAGAGAGCATGAGAGGAGACTGGGCCCAGGCGACTGAAGGCTTTATTAGCTTTGAACATGGACTCCATTGTGAATTCAGGGATAATTTCTGGTTTTACACTTGGGTCTGACTTCATTTGTATTTTAGATTGTTAACTTTGGCAGCTTGATAGGTTATGATTTTGAGGAGGGCAAGGGGCTAGCTTTGATGATAGCTAACAGGTCTATGAGTTAGGCGATCAATTAACTGGAGGATGTCCAAAGGCTAACCAGAGTTATGGACGTGTGGACAGTAAAAAGCAATGAAATATATACGAGAAAAAATAGGCGAGACTCTGTGACATTGTGAATGACATTGTGAATGGGAAGAGAGGGCATGTCTAGAGGGGTTTTCAGATCTTGATGGGATGTTAGGGAAGATGGGGCAGTGCTGCGGCAGTTCATAGAAAGCATTCAGGGTGTATTTTACGGTCAATCAAATTCTATATAGTTTATCATGTAGGCTTGTATCTTATTAAATTTATTCCTGGTTATTATGAAATTTTTATTCCCGTGAATAGTTCTTTACTCCTATACACCTTTCATTTTGTTACCATTACTCTAATAACGTAGGACAGGGTAGCGTGTCATTCTATTGTACATAGAGTTGCTGTGAGCTGGAAGTACTTGACAGCACCTCGTAAAGACAATCCTCTAAAAAAGATGCTCAACAGAATTGTATGTGAATTAATATATTGGATTACATAAGATATGGCACACAAAAAAAAACCTATAAGGAAAAAAAAGGGAGGGAGTGTTCTTGGGAGGTAGGGTGGGCGAGGGAGGGGATAAAGGGGAGCTGATATCAAGGAGTTCAAGAAGAAAGCAAATGTTTTGAAACTGATTGTAGTAGCAGTCATACAATACGGCTTGATGTGATTGAACTATGAAATGTTATCTGCAAGAGCTCCTAAGAAAATGATAAAAATAAAATAAAAAAGAGATGCTGATTTTGAGTATGTTTGATATCTATTCTATTAACTAAACTCATTAATTCTAATAGAGCTTCATTTACCATCTTAGATTTCTAGCCATCTATTATCCGCAAATAATAATTTCATCCCTTTTCTTTATTATATTTTAAATGATGAGATAATCATGTTTATTTTATTGCTTAACAGGCATGGCTTCGGTATTTAATATTTAGTATGTGCTAATGGATTATGATTTTCTTTATTATTTAATAGACTACTTTCTGTAAGTGCTTTATTTAAATATTTGTTAAAAATGTCTGATAAAATTTATCAACTGTTCACTTTTTATATAATTTCCTTCTTTCATGAGAAAGATGAGGCTTTCTACTTCCATAAATGTGTAGTTGTAGAAAGCCACATGAGGACTTTTACCCTGTTCTGTAGGGTTGCCTGACTTGATGGCAGTGAGTGGTTTTCTTTAAAATGTTAATCAAAAAAACCTCAACGCTCACTGCCATCCAGTAGATTCGCCCTATAGGACAGAGTAGACTGGCCCCTGTGGATTTCCAAGACTAACCCTTTAGGGAAATAGAGAGTCCAATCTTCCCCCAAAGAGGCTGTTGGGGTATAACTGCTGACCTTGTGGTTAGCAGTCTAATGCGTTCTGTGGAATGCATTCAATTGTTTTTTCGGTTTTCCCCCCCCTTGCGATATCATCATAAATACTTACTATACTTTTGCCAGGTGTCAAGCACTAGTCTAAAGACTTTATCCCACTAATCTCAATCCCGTGCAGTAGGTACTATTCAAAAAATCTCTCTGCCATCAAGTTGATGATCTGAGTTTCTGAGACTTTAACTCTTTATGGTACTGTTGAGCTCTCCATTTTATAGATGGAAAAAATGAGAGATAGTGAACTCATTTGTCCAGGGTCAAAAAGGAAGTAGTAACAGTGATCATAAGTGAGAATTTGCAAACATTTTTTGTGTTCTCTCCTGCCATTTGAGTTATATATTATATTTGGAAATGAATTGGAATCATTTCCATCTTTTTTTTCTGTGTTACGGAATAGTAAGAGTCACACAGGAATCATCTGATCCCTGACAATATGGAACTAGTCTCAGCAGTATCAAGCTGGATGCCTCATGAGTGGTAGATCTTTGGCAAATATTTGAATGTGAAATATAGTTTAAATTTTGTTAATTTTTGAGTTAATTTTGGTGCTCTCTCTATACATGCATATATATATATATATATTTGCAAACCAATTGTTTCTGTAGCTCTAGAGTTATGTTGATATGAAGTTGCTACTTAGTATTCTGAACATTTTTCTTTGAGGTTAATTTTTTATACTCCAATATATCTTATTTTTCTTTGTTGAGCTTTCCATTTTATTCAATTTTTCAAAAATCAACTTTTGTTCAATTATTAATTTTTGCTTAGACCAAATAGCCACTATTACTTTTTATTAATTCCATCTATCGACATGTCTTTTTCTAGTTTTAAAAATTTTATTTTCTAGAGTATATTTTCATGCACATATTTTTTCATTAAAAAGAAACATTTATTTTATACTTTTCTTTTCTTCCTCCAATATTTTCCCCAATATTTTTTAAAAGTACCTATGAATGAGCTTCTCTGTGTTTTACTTTTTAAAAAAGTGTATAATTTTGACTAATCAGGTAAATATATTTTTAATGAGAATATGTATTCATTCATCAGATATGTAC